AAATCGTGTATTTTTTGATATCTTATTTGATTACTATTTGGCTTTCTATTACTGTGAGCACATACCTTTAGGTGTGTGCGAAACAGTTGCGGAGCTTAGTTATCTTATTTGCTGACTAATTAGCATTCTATTACTGTGAGCATGAACCTTTTGGTGAATGCGAAGCATAGTTATCTTTTTAGTATTCTATAAGGTTTTTATACTAAAAAAAGATAGTAAAATATGAGCTTTAGTACTACCCGCTATTAATAAAATTTTTAGTACAGATAGTAAAAAATAGGTATTTGTTAGCTTCCAGCATAGATAAATTTTTTGAAATTGCTATTTATTGTCACTTTATGAGGTGGTCTTCAAGTATCTGAAGTTTTCGAGCATAAAACTGCATAACGTAATATCCCTTAGCATATTTTTTACACGTTCCAAGTGCAGAAGAAGTTGGCTTACCACATATACATAAAATACGTTTTTTTGCTCTCCAATGTTCATGACACCCTTCAGGTTTTCGACATCCACGTCCGTAGATTTCTTCAGAGTTGTGTATATATTCTCAAGTATATTTACCTTACATTTCGATAAATTTATATAACTGAATTAATTATTTTAATTTAAACAAAAGATCTGGTTTTATTAATAAAAAACACGGATTACATATATTACACTATGGGAAAAAAACTCTATTGTCCAGGATGTACTAGTGAAATAAAAACTGGTAAGACAAGAGATCTTAATAAATACATGAATTTAAATGGAAACCTTCGTAAAGGTCAATATCAACCAGCATTGCGATTAATGCAAAACCAAGCTCCAATAGGAAATCCACCTACAGCCTTTGTTCTAGTGCAAAATATTACTCCAACGCAAAATCCAGCATCAGCTCCAAAGGGCGATCTCATTTCGTTCAATGAAAACTCACCAACACTCCAGCTGAGAGAAGAAAATGTGCCAGCAGTCGACCTCGAAATAGGATCTAGTTTAGGTAATAAAACTATTTTAATTCATAAAAATATATCAAATGGGTTTGAATTTTATGACGGAAAAAGAAAATGGTATGGTGTTAAAGAAGATTTCCATGCTTTATCTAATAAGTACTATTTTATTAAAACAGATCTAAAAGAAATAATTATAGAAACCTATAAAAGAATTATCAAAGAATCGGAAGCTATTACAGAAAAAACAAATGGTCAAGTCGATATGTGAAAATTAGGATGTTATACATTAACAAGTTTAAAACTTTTTAGAGAAACTACTTTAGCACCCAAAAGAAGTGAAAAAGTAGATGAAAAAGAAAATGCTTGGTTAAATTTAGTAACAACAGATGCTTTAGTATTTGTTGAAAGATATGAAAAAGAAGCTATTCAGTATAATGTAAACTCAATGTATGTATTTGAAATGTTAAAGAAAGAGGTGTCATGGCTAATTGCATCAGGTAAATTTTATACTATAAATTTGTCATTAGCAAAAAGTTGGAATAAATTTCTTTATGGAATTTATAAAGCAACAATCGAAGAAAGCCCCCCTAAAAAAAGTCTACAATGTACGTGATATTTATGATATAATCCACAAGGAATTTATACGCATTATGATTTAGAATGTGCTAAGGAAAACAGGTTAAAAGTATATTTAATGAATGAATCACCAAACGCACTTATATATGAAAAAAATATACATATTACTGGAAGTGATATGTTTGAAAAATGGGGTAATATACTATACAACATTAAGAAAGAAGGTGGAACAGCAGAAAAAGTAAGTAAAGCATTATTAGTTTCATTATGGGGAGCATTATGCGAACAAAGAAATGGACAAAATTATGGAGCTCATTCAAAAATCAAACCGTTTCTATTGGCATTAGCCAGAAAAGAATATCAGAAATTGTAGGACCATTAGGTGATCAAGTAAAGCGTATTCATACGGATGGATTTATAGTAGCAAGGCAAGTAAATCTCAAAACAGATATAGAAATGGGTGAGTTAAAACTTGAGAAGAGAGGAGTTTGTATGATAAAAAATTGTATATCAATTACTTGGAAGCCTTTATATCCTGAA